CTTAAAATAGTCTCGTTAGAAATAAAAAATTCCAATAATAGTTGATTCCAATAGAGCACGTTACAGAAAATTCGGTGAAAAACATCTGAACTATAGAAATCGCAAGACGGGGGATGAGAACGATATACCGAGACCTGTCAAAGCCGGGCACGTTGTTGACACGGAACAATCGCGGTATTCCGCGTATGATTATTCGAGAGGTTTGTGCGTTATACCTATATTGTTCATACATGATAGAAGATCGATTGTTTAACGCTTGAAAGTTTCAATGAGAGCATTCCGCCAGATTATCCTTTACCTATTTAATGTCGCCGATCAAGATGCGAAAAAAATTCGATTAATATGATAGAGAGGATTGTTTAGAAATAACAGTTATTCGGCAATATTCACTGCAAGCTACATAGCCAAGTAAATTCAAAAAATACTAAACAACTTGTAGTTAATTATATCATTTAGATCAAATGTTTAATCAGTCTTGATAATTAAAAAAAAAATTTGTATCTAGAATAATTTTAAAAGTGCAGTGTAAATTACATCATAATAATTACATATTTAATGTAACAAAAGACACAGATTAATATATAATAAGTAAAATCATAATTCTGTCTTTTTTATAATTTATGGAGAGAAATCTTTTTTGTGTTATACTGAAATATATAACTAAAAATATAACTAAAAAAAATGTTACATTTAGATAGTGAAATAATAAATGTAGAATTAGGACATAAATAATTGTAAATAAATATTAGTTTTAAGAAATAATAAAGTAATAATGTGTAGAGATAAATTAAATATGTATTAAAATCTATTTGCAATTTTATTATATTAAATCAATTGTCATTAATTATAAGTATAAAATTTCACATGGAAATTTTTCAATAATGAGAGTTTGTTCATTTATTACAAATTAAATATCATTTCCTAATTCGCTATAATAATTTTGTCATATTAAAAAAGGTTATGTAAAATCTGCATTAAAAAATCCACAATCGTAAATTTTACTGGGAGTAAACTTTCTCAACTTACTGATATCGTTAAACTGTCAATAAATTCGAACAATAAAGAAAGAAAGTGCAATTCTTATAAATCTCAAAATTTTCTTTCGTGATTATTATCTAGTAAAAAAAAATTTTATATATCTGTAGCGAGCACCGTTGCTTCTGCAAATAATTTTTATTTTGTGTGTAAAAATCAATTATTACCATTCACAAATAATTTTACTTATTCAAGTACTTATGATAGTATCAAGTATCAAGCTCGTAGTGTCAACACTAATAAATAACACGACCAATTTAAACGAGCAAAATTTTGATCTTAGGATATAATTATAATGTTTATTTACTATAAAAATTCGCCATATATAAACCAAACGTTTCAGGTTTTATTGACTCTTTCTCAGTAATATCCTATTTCTATCTTCAGTGATATCCTATTCAGTAAAAACGTATTTAATAGATTGAATAATTTAAATACTGTTCTCCTTATTTTAAAAGGGATTACCGAATCAAAATAACAATTAAGAGTTTGACAAGTCTCTTTTCTTATTATCCCTTTTATATTATCCTTTTTTAATTATCCTTTTATCTTTTATACCATTTATATAAAAAAAAGACATATCTGATTCTTTTGCTACATTAATTTGATAATTCTTTTCAAAATAAGGAAAAAAAGAATTTTTAAAATCATTCAAACTATATAATTCAAGTATCACTGAAAGTACAATGGACTTTGATATCATTGAAGCAGGATCAATGAAATCTCTTTATATATGTTAAATTTTCATATTAAGTAAAAATTAGAGTTACATTGTAAGACCAAAATTCTGCTCGTAATTTAATTTATCTTTATTATATTTATTAATAATTTTATTTATATTTCTCCCTTCGATTTGTAACGCGTAATAACTTGAATCTGATTGTTGTGAAATGCGACTTGTTACTGACAGATTGATATTGTATGCCATTCAGTGTTGGCATTTAAAATATCAGTCAAGTTTCAAAAGATTGCTCAACTCTGTGTAATAAGTGGAATCGCTTGTATTGAAAAACAAATAAAGATAAATCTCTATTTGTACATTCAGTGCACGATTTATGGCGCAGCATTCGCATATTGAATGAACGCATTTAAATGCCTTAGAAAGAAGCTTTTTAAGCACATGAAACTTTTATGAAACTTTTATAAGCCGAATTCTAGAGGCCGGATTGAAGTATAAGTATAAAAAATATTAGTGAAATAATAAGTGTAGAATTAAAACATAAATTGTACATAAATATTTATTTTAAGAAATAATAAATAATTTATGTTATGAGGAGAAATTAAATATATTAAAAAGGTCTATTTGCAATTTTATTTTAAATCAATTGTCATTAATCATAAGCACAAAACTGAACGAAGCAAGACATATAAAATCTCAAAATCCGAGATAAATCATAAAACAATATTGAATAATCCAATGCATATACGATACATCTTATTCTACCCGTTTGGTAATTAACTTTGATTTCCTTTTAAATCCGTGCAATCAAAGAAAAGAACGAACTTTAGTGGTAAACACCTTTCATCATCTAATCTAACTTACAAAACTGTAGAGACCTAATCTCGCTTATCAAACTGCAATTGCGGTACAACCCGTGGTAGCGTGATAATGATTCATCGGCAAGTTGTTGAATTTAGCCTCAGAATAGAATCTCTTACATTTATTAAATTTATAATGTCAAGTTATATCCAATTTGAGTTCACGGAGAGAATTTTTTCTTAAAGTTTATCCTGAAAATATGGTAATTCTGGGACAACATTGTATTTTGACGAATTTTATGTAAATCATTCATTAATAAAACTACAATAAAATATAAAATAAGTTTGATTAATTTTATTGAAATGCATGGTAAAAATCTTTAAAATTTTATATCATATCACAACTATCATATTTTCAGGTTAAATTTTAAGAGACAATTCTGTCCGTGTTTCTATTGTTACCCAAATATGTTGTTAATTTGATTAAAATAATAAAGTTGAATGGTTTACCTCAAGAAAATATATAAATTTGACTCAAATTAAATTTATTATTTGATTTATAGATACGACATAGATAGCATTGCTTTTTTAATATTTAAAGGTATAACTATAATTTATTGCATTTTATAACATCTAGTCAAATAAATTATTATTATTTGTTATTATTGTTAATAATTATTTTTAATAATTGAATTGTTTATATATAATTACAATAATACGAGAATAATATATTATTTTATTATTTATTAATCATTATCTGTGATTACATTATACATACATTTATCTATATGTGCAATATTTTTCTATAACATAATCAAATAAAAAATAAGATTTAATAATGTCACTAAATATCAAAATTTTACAAGCTCTCATCACCTTTAATTGATTATAATTTGTAAATGTATCAACTTGTTATTGACGCGGAAAAATATTGAAGAAATACTTCTCTTATTTGGATATGCAAAAAACACAAGAGGAAACATGTTTTTTAAAAGAGAAAACATATTTTTAAATATATTTGCAAAATACTAGCTATTTTCTTGTTATATTAATCTATTTTGGCAAGTTTAGATCGGGAAACTTTAAGAGAATTAAATCGATTAATCCAGTCAAATAAATAACGCTATTAGTTCTGCAACTGAACAAGAAAAAGTGAATAAAAAGAAAAATAGAATTAGAAATAAAGAAATTATATGTCGAAATAGATAAAATAAAATAAATCGTTTCAAATAGGTGAGGCAGGGAAAATTAGTAGATATTAATTTATTTGCTCCATTTCTCACAGAGTCGTTTGTCACGGATATTTAATCCGATAGACATAGAATTGTAAATCGGTTTATCGCGTGTAAAAGCGCTCTTATATAGCGCAATTATTATAAATATCGTATTAACTAGTAATATCATTCACTGATATCGATATTAAGTTATAAGCATACAATCGTTGCCTTCGGAATAAAATCATGTACTTTTAGTATTAATGATGTTTGCATTAAAAATGATAGTTGTGTTTATACAATTCTCGCACACGCGTATGCGCTCGCGCGCTTTCCGTAAAACTATGTAGAAAGTGTAATTGAAGTGAATCAGCCTGACAGCGCGATGACGAGCGGGACATTTGCGACGGTGAATATAACAGCGCAGGGACTATTCTGTATTCGTTTCCGGATTACGTTCTCGATTTTCACCGAAATCAAGATTAAAACGTTCGACGTGTGAATTGTCGTCTAAATATTTCTGACTGCTGTTAACATATCGGTAAAGTGTAAAGGTTAAATTTGCACAATAAATGGTGACAGGATTTATCGGATTATCCATTATCGATCGGTCCAAACAAATTTTATTATTTATACCGCTCAGTAACATTGGTCCATCGATCATGACGTAAAAAGATACAATGTAAATACACATCGTTTTATTAAACGGTTAAAGATCGATCACTTCCGTCAAATAAAATATAAAATAAAGATATAATTAAAGGGATTATTGATGTTTTTTAATTAGAAAGATATTTTCCAATCACTCAGGATGTTTTGTTTAAAATTTAATGAAAAGAAAATAATGAACTAATGCACCAATTTAATAGTACTTCTTCGCAGACTTCACTATTACAACAGACTTATCTTTGGATAGCGGAACAATCGACTATTAAATTGTTCCCAGAGCGTCAATTTGCAATTTCTTTAATGTCATTAAATGCAATGAGTTTGCTTATCTGCAAAGATAAGAAATAACATGTTGCATATCCCAAGTAATTTCCGCTATCGCTCGTCAAGCGAGATCGCTTCATTCGACCATGAATCGGCAGAATGCTGATTGTCGTAATACTGAAGTCGGATGTCATAATACTCAAGGAAAATTTAAAAATCATCAACATGAGAATAGGCAAACGAGGAAAATAATTCGGCTAGTTCTAAATTTCTCCGGAAGCGCGCAATCCTCAATATTTTCGAAGAGGGAAATTAAGAAAGCATTTTAAGTACACTTACTTGTTGAATTCGCAGAGCTTCCGTAAGAGATCGGTAAAATCCCTCGAATGAAGGTCTCTTTCCCGCGACTATCCTCCGAGAGGACGAAAGACGCACGAAAAGCGAAGTTTTAAGTTCCTCTTCTTGCGAGAGAAACGTGGAGACGCGAAAGGTAATCTCGCCGACGACTTCCGGAAAAAGTCGTCGACGATTACGTCGACGTGGGGACCGTTTGAACCGAACTAACTGGGAAGAATTAAAAGTCCAAGGTAGTGATCGGCGATAATGCCGTGGATGATGATACCTGGACGGGCGCTTTAACAGGTGGCACGCACGACAGAGTTCCTCACGGTCCAGAGTGCTAACGACGTGTGACGTCGACGCTACAGTGCGAGAGGGCTTTTATAGCCGGTCGGTGCCGCGGCCGACCCGACTCGATCCGTCTCCACTCGACTCGGCGCGACCTTCCTACCTCCTGCCTGCCCAGAGATATAGCTCTTGGCCCTATCAACTGATTTGTCATTACGTCTTCCATTCCCAGGTCCACCACCGCAGTCTCCCTTCGCGCCTCTAATTCACCTCTCATTGGAACAGGATTCGTAAAGTACATTTATCGATGCACACTCATTTCTAGACGTCGCGCCTGTCACTTGATTCTTTTGTAAAATTATAAAGGAATGAATGAAACGTCCTTTAAATAGAATATAGAACCTTTTAACCTTGTCCCATATTACTTTAATCTAAGAGAGATCTTTTTTAATTCTATATTTATACAATTTTCGGAAATATTTTATTAGAAAAATTTTTATTGGAAGAAAAATTTTAATTATTGTATATAAAATATTTACATGTTTACATATTATTAATATGTAAATAATTATGTTTTAATAACAATAATAATTAAATACATGTACATATTTTAACATAC